GGTAGTCAGTTGAACAAAAATTCACGTCAAGATCAGCATTCCACTATGCATTGCCTCTTCAAAAGGCCTTTTTCGAGACGGCTATATCATGCATTTAGGCTTCTCTCGCATAAGAATTTTGTTATACAAGGCAATGCCTCATCTCTCCGCAACAGTGCATATCCGAGACGATGGCATTTGCTACAAACCTACCTCGACCAAGTAGAATAAAGTACACTACACAAATTAATTGATGCGATTACTCTGGAAGCAACGTCATCCCGACAAATCACAACTTTTCAGGCTATGCAAGCCACGGGCATATAACGGCTATAAATTGAAACAAGTGTACTTGATAAGTGAGCCATTAGGATAATTCAAGTTCAAGAATCAAGATGGCCTCTTCCACATGTAAATACTCAACCTTCTCTCTTTTAAATGTAATTGAACATGAGGAACAAACTATTATAATTGCAATCGAGTAATTCTCTCTTCAAGCCAGTACATATATTTTCGTTCATTATGTATCTTCCAAACCCAAATATATCTTCATTCGTCAAACTTGAGTATCAGAGTGCATGAGACCGTCGCACCTCCAGAGCTTGTACACTTTAATGTAGTGTCGAACTGTGCATGTAACATACATGTGATCAGAAGAGAAGTCGGGATATCCCACCAAATTTGAATGTCAACATATTTTAATTTGAAGTCTAACAACGTAATCAATATTCATATGAACACATATAATGTAATTGTGACTTACATGCCAATTTTTTCTAGGTCCTATTCTAGTTTGTTGGCATATAATTTATATACGACCCACCATAGCAAAAAAAAGTCGAATTTTTGGACTTTGAAAACGCGACAGCATTCCATTCTTGACTATAGTAGACCATGACTTGATTTAACCTAGCATTTCTAACGTTGTAGTATAAAAAAAAATTGAAATATTTAGTTGTCTTTAAGTTTGTCAAATTGAATCCTAACCCCCTTTAATTTGTTTTATTCTGTTATTTTCTCATACACCTTAAGCCCATCTTTGTCTAATATTGGATTTTGGTTGGTGAATTTTGTATATTGGTAAAAAAATATCATGTTGTTCCTGTACAACAGTTGTTACGAACACGTTTTGACGTAGTTTATTGATATGTTATTAATCTTGATCACTTCAAACGAGGGATGCTCAATTACAAGGTATTTTATTCGTAAATATTTAAAAATATTCAAATATCGATTTATAATTGGCTAGAGAAAATAAAAAAAAACGATTGGTCAATGGAGATATCAACAAGCAATAGTGCAATACCCACAGAAACTGATGGCAGGTAAGCAGCCACTTCTTACTCGACAATCAACATTTATTTCTCTTTAGTTTCGAGTCATTGTTTAATAATAAATGGGAACTTCCAATTCCAGTAAGTTAATTTTTTTAATTTTTCCACCTAACTTTTTGTTTTTTATAACATAGTTACTTTTAAGTCTAAATAAAAAGGTAATTGTTTTGACAAAATCATTTGAAGTAAACTTATTATACTTAATATTTTGAAGCTTGGCTAAACATGCACAATAAAGTCAATGATATAAGCCTATAAAATATAAATCCTAATGTTACTTAAAGCATTAGGTATAAAATGGAAAGCGTGCTGTCCTATAATGGTAAGTTACCCAATTCAAAGGACCAAGGAAATTTCATTGTGTTTGGCACGTAAGACAATATTTTAAGTTATATTTACACCATAATATTGTTAATTACACCAAATTTTAAGGGATAATTGCAACTGAGGTCCCAAACCTTTGAAACACTAGTAGACTTTCTCAAAATCTTTGATTTGTTACAGTCGTCACCCCTAACATTTCCAAACGTTGTAGGTGAAGCCATTTTGGAAGGTTTCCATCCATAATTTCGCCAGTTAACCAAAAATTTACCTTTGACCACATTTTTAATATTTTAAAAAAGGACAAAAGAGTAATTTTATATTTTCCTCATATTAAAAACTTAGATCAAAAACCAAAAAAATAAAATAAAAAAGGAAAAAGTTTTTTGGGATTTCTTCTCATTCAGTTGCAGCAGATTCCCAATCATTGGTAACCTGGCATCTCTTAATCAACTTGTAGTCTGGTGGAGGGAAATGGTAAAAGATAGAGGGAATCTCTTGTAGTGGAGATTGACTGAAAGGATTGTAGTGTGGTGAAGTGAAGTTAGTGTGTGAAATCATCGGTTCACTGTCCAAATATTTTCTGCGCCATTTCTTGTTCCGCCGTCATCGGGGGATTCTCCTTTAATTTCTACGCCTTTGGCAGCGGAGACGCGTCCACGGTGGCGCACCCATTTTCCTCGACGGTTTATAGGGAGTGTCCGGAGGTGGAGACGGTGGCACAACCCAACCGATGCTTCACCTGCTTGAAGAAGGTGGGATTGACTGGTTTTAAGTGTAGGTGTGGGACCACTTACTGTGGGACTCACAAGTACCCTGAAAAGCATTGGTGCAATATAATCAAGATTTAGATACTTTGGATTTCGACCATTTCCCCTCGCCAAATCCCAAATCTTGAACTAGAAAAAATCCAATCTAGCATCCTCCTTTTTCTTCTAATCAAAGCTAAACCAAAATCTTGAACCCCCAAATCTAGCAACCACTCAAGCCACATAAATCCTCTCAACTACTCATTTTATTGTAATAATAATCAGTTTCTGATCCAAAAATTGCTTCTAGAAAGCAAAAATTAAAGAAAACCAACGATGAAACGATCTCAAAATCGATTTTTTCACAATAGAAAATGTCCAACGTAATCTTGATTTCCATTTCATATCCTTCATTGATTTTCTTTTTCATTTTATGGCCTTTCAAACCCAATAATTCTTCATTTCCAAATTTGGGGGTGAGAGGAAGGAGAAGATTGTGTTTTTTTTTTTTTT